TTAATGAATGCTAGTTTTCTGACTTTCTCTTCCTGTTGTCATTTTTGAGACAAAAACTTCAAAAGTGCTATTTTGGACAATTGTCCTAGTTAAAATTAGTATGTTTTCTTATGTGAAAAAATCTAAAACATTGTTTAAAAAAAAGAGTATTAAAGTTTATTATTCTTAATTAAAAAATAAAGAAAATGATCGTCATTATCAGTTTGTAAATGTCTCATGTGTCAAAGATAAAATATGTATATCGTGAATGTGATAACATTTTAGTCATAAAGAAAAATCATATAATCCAGCTACCTTTAAAAAAATGTAAATCTTGAATGTGATACCATTTTAATTATACAGCAAAATCATTCAATCCAGCTGCTTATAAATTAGAAGGCATGCGTGTAAACAGAACACAATACTACAACAGAAAAAAAAAAAAAAAAAAAAAGAATCTCTCTCTACTAAATATATAGAAGCTAAAAAATCATGGTGATATCTCACGCTCAGCCTTTACTTCTCTTTGTTTCCATCTTTTATTTACCAGCTGTTTTGGGCACCGCCATCGAATTCAAGAACAACCCATATAACTTTAATAACGATTTCGTTAATGTCACTGGAGTGGAGATAATTCCATATCCGATTACATTTTACGATAACCCAATATTTAAGATAACCTGTTTTACATGTATGTAATTCTCTTTTCGTTATTCTGATGATATTTTTTAATTACCGTATGTTCAACTTAACTTTTCCACTTTTTAATACTTTTCTTGATAAATGTCTTTGGTGTGAGCAGCCCAAGAAGGCTTCGCACAAGATTATATAATGGTGCGTTTTGGTCTCGAACGCCCTAATGGTTTAGAGTATTTATGGCGCAAAGAATATGCACTCTGTGATTTAACAAAATGTCCTTTTGAGCCTGGCCCCTTTGTGCTTAGTTTTGCTAACATATACGACGTAAAGAGGAGTTTTAATATATCAGTAAGTTTTTCTGTGCATACATGCATAAACACTAGCTGTCTATGAATATCATAATCGTTTTATCTATCTATCTATATAAGTTCCGTAGTCGCTATATGTCAAACCAGTTGGCTATGATTTCCTGATGATCTAACGCGACACGTTCCTTTCTCTTTTTAATATTTCAGGGAGAATATGAAGTTACAATAACAATTTTGCACGGGGGTAACCGTGGGGACACTATGAACTTCAGTTTCAAGTTTCACGCCAATGGTTAGTTAAGCTAGCTAAAGAGTGAAACTGTGTTTTTTTGTTTTTCCTAGCTAGAGAATTGATCTTGCAAGTCCATAGCAAATTTGCAAAAGATATTCGAACGAAGCAATTTTTCTAACAAGTTTGCAGTGATTTGCGTCTGAAAATGTCTCATGGATATAGTGACGGGCTAAAATTTTAATCTAATGCTTATAAGTCACTGCATTTTAATACGAAAACTTCAACATAATTTATCAGTTTGTTATTGTCTCATGTGTAAAACTTCTACCACATTTTTCTTCTTTCTTTTTCTCCTTGTTGCATTTCAGCTTTGGCGGAATTCATCAACATTCCGAGACTTAATGGCGTTAATGTCAGTAAAGTGGAGATCTTTCCATTTAAAGTTACTGTTAACGATAATCCAGTCTTTAGGATAACCGCTGATACAGGTATGTATATTTTTAATTATTTCCAAGTTTTAACACGATTTATTCCAATATTATGAAGGTTTTTTCTTAATAAATATCTTTGCTCTGAGCAGCCCAAGACATCACATCTTCTTCAATGATAGCAGCAAAAATGGTTTTGGAGGATTCATCAGTGCTATTTCATAAGTATTCGGGAAAGAATTACAATCTCTGTGATTCTACGGACCACTGCCCAGTTGTACCTGGTCGCTTTGTGCTTACTTTTCCTCACCCATACTGGAGATACAAGATCGAAGCAGTAAGTTTTTTCTTTACATTAACACCAAATTAATACAGAGTTTCATAATTGTTCTTATAAAAAAAAGGTATCCATGGTCCCTGTATTTCAAGCCAATTGGTATGGTTTTCTAATGATCTCTTCTTTCTCTTTTTCAATACCTCAGGGTAGATGTCGTGTTGAAGTACAAATTTTCAATCAGAAAAATGTGTTTCAGGTAAGAATGAACCTCGCGTTCTGGTTTTCGGTCAGTGAAGCCTAGCTAGAGAGTGAAACTATATGTTTCAAAAAGCCTCTCTGGTGTATGGTGATCTTAATCACTGTGTGTTGTATCATTTTTTTGTCGTCCAACAAATAAACAAGGATTGTTGTATAAAACACACCTTTGACCTACCCATGTGTGTATGTGTGTGTCTGTTTGTTATGTGGTTTGTTCAAATATGTATATATGTGTGTTTATTATTTTGGTTTGATCAAATGTGCATCTGTGTGTTTATTATTTTGGTTTTACTCATCAACGACAACTCCCTGCCCTATAAAAAGAAGAAAAGGAAACCGAGTAAGCCAACAAGTTACTAGCACACTTGACAATCAGAAAACCAACGTTAAAAAAGAAACGAGTAAAGTCCTGACTTTCTCCAGACTCTTGTAAACATTGCCAAATTATAAATAAAGTAATGGGAAATTTGCCAAAAGAGAATAAAAAAAACACAACTATTGTCCACTTAGGATAAAATTAGATTTTGTCACTTTTGGACTTCCACTACCTTTTTTGTATAAAAAAAATCATAAAAATAAATTTACAATGCAAACAAATTGAGAAAAAATATAAAATATGAAATAAAGTAGCATGTGAATATATGAAAAATATTTTGAGATTCAAAAAATGTTTGGAATAGTAATTTCAAATATAAGATAAACGTGGTACTAAATCAGATCTACCATCTACGGCTGTTTAGAGCGTGCAATCTACTAGCAACTAATTGATCTAAATGATTTAGAATGCGTAATACACCAAATACATATACATATACATCTACGAATGAAGAATATGATATCTGATTTTCCTTCTTTATTCTGGAGCTTTACTAAAACATAACATATACGAAAGATTGACGTATCTACCTTGGCAGAACACACTATAAGAAAACGCCGCGATTCCGACGACCATATTCGTCGGTATGTTGTCGGAATAACGGTATTCCGAGAACATACCGACAAACACGGTCGTCGCAAATTTTTCGTCGGAAATATAAGTTTTCTCGGAAATTCCGAGGAAATACCGAGAACCAAAATTTCGAAGGATTTCTGAGAACATATTCCTAGGAAAATTTCATCGGAATGTCCACGGAGTTTTCAGATGGAACATTCGTCGGAATATTCTGAGGAACTGTAGCCCTCGGAATAATCCGAGGACACTGTCCCTCGGAATATTCCAAGGGATATTGTCGTCGGATTCCGAGGGACAATATCGTCAGAATATTCCGGGGGATAGTCTTCTTCGGAATATTCCAAAAATTATTTTCTTGTATAAAATTATAATTTTTTTTTTAAAATTGAAATTCGAAAATATAAAATAAAAATTGTAATTGAAAATATATTAGATAATATTCAAAGTTGTACAAATAAAAAAAACATTCATAAATTTAAAAAAAAACCCAGAAACTACGGGAATTGCTCGTTCGGGTACATCCTCTTCATCATCTCCATCATTTGCTCGTTCTGCCTCCTCATTTTCTCCCATCCCGCCTCTTTATCTGCCATCCTGGCTTCCAACGCAGCTATGCGGTCATCCTTGTCCTTCAGCTCCTCCATAACCATTGGATCAACAAAAGGCAGTAGTGCAGACGAAGGAACCGATTTGGATCGACGACCCAAACCGATCAAACATCCCTTCTTCTTTGGAACCGACTAAAAGAGAAAATAAACAAATCTTTAATAATAGAAAATAAAGAAATAAGTGAATTTAACTTTAAAAAAAGATCTTACCGATTCAACGATTTCGTTGATTCGAGTCCGGGATACGTGGGTCGAAGCTGTCGAAGTGGAGTCCAGGTCGGTTTGAAGCTGAGATAGACAGGTCTCTTCGTCTTTCTTCAAAGTTTCGACCAGGTCGACAACCTCCTTCACAACGCCATCATCAATCTCCCCGGTCTCCTTGTTGGTATGCTTCCTCTTCAGCAGTTCGAAGTCATCAATCGGCTCGCCATCATTTTCTTCCGCCTAGAAAAAAACATAGGTTAAAAAGAACATTAGAAATTAGAAGAAATGCATATAAAATAAAATCAAAATACTTAATTATTGAAAAAAAGAGACTGAACTTACCATGCGATCTCCCAGAGTGGCAGTAGACTGGGCACCCAAGTTGTGTATGTACATGTCCTTCCCGCCACGTTTACTGTTGCGGTTGGTGGAGTTGGTCAAGGAGGTGTCTTTCGTCGCGTCCTTCTCCAATGCACACACAAGTCCTGCCAGACCGTGCTGTTGATCGACTGCGGAACCTTTTAATAAATAAAAAATAAAAAATAGTTAAATAAATTGAAAAATAGTTTAATAAATTGAATAATAGTATAATAATTTTAAAATAGATTAATAAACCGGTACCTTATCATCGATCCACTTCTGCTTCCACTCAAAGATCTACTTCCCGTAGTTGTCCATAACTTTATGGACGAAGGCGTTACGGATGAAGGCCGTATGATCGGGATTCCAGGTGAATTCTTGCTGAAAAACACAATTAGTAGAAATTTTATAATAAATATTAAAAATATAACCAAAAAATTAGAATACTTACCGCAAGCTGACGAAACCACATCTCCTGCTCGTGGAGAGGGGACTGAGTGAAAGTCGGATATCCCTTCTTGGGGTGCGAGTACATCATCCGGTTGATCCATGCGCTAATCCCGTTCGCGGATCGATCGAACGTAAAATAAAAAAAACAATATTAATAATGAATCAACTTTTAATTAAATAAAAAAGACTCTTAATTACCATGATTGACGTCATCCCTTTGGATACGGAGTGAGATAGAGAAGATGGTCACGACCGGGCTGTTGAACCAACTGTTCAACAGTCATCACTCCTGGAACAACTGGAGGAGGGGGAGGGGGTGCAGCAGCGGGAGAAAGAGCCTGATCAGAAGGAATCTGATCAGAAGGTGTCGGGTAGGTGTTCTGGGACGATGAAGAACCCCGACAGTGGCTAGATGACCTCGGGGATGCGGAACGACGAACTTGAGACCGGGACCGATCACTACTAGACCTGCAAATTAAAAAAAAAAGAAGAGTTTTTAATAAATGTAAAAATGATTTTAAAAATCCAAAAAGAGTTTTTAATCAGAAAAAAGTTTCATTAATATTTACAAAAAACTTTTAATAAATAGGAAAATAGTTTAATAATTTAAAAAAATAGTTTTTAATCACAAAAAACTTTTAATAAATAGGAAAATATTTTAATAATTTAAAAAATAGTTTTTAATCACAAAAAAACTTTCAACAAATAAGAGATTAGTTAATAATTTAAAAAATAGTTTTTAATCACAAAAAAACTTTTAATAAATAGGAATATAGTTTAATAATTTAAAAATAGTTTTATTCACAAAAAACTTTTAATAAATAGGAAAATAGTGTAATAAGTAAAAAATAGTTTTTAATTACAAAAAACCTTTTAATAAATTGGAAAATAGTTTAATAATTAAAATAATAGTTTTTAATCACAAAAAGGTTTCAAAAATATAAAAAAACGTTTTAATATTTCCGAAAATAGTTTTATATACAAAAAAACTTTGGATTTGATAATTTCAAAAAATATATTTTTGAAAATCAACAAAAACAACAACAACACAAACAACAACTTCAAATCCTAATCAAAACCTAATCTACCAATCACCCTAACAAAATCACAATCTAAAACATCTAAAATCCCTAAAACTAACTTCAAATCCTAATCAAAACAACTAAGGATGATGAGGATTGAGGACTTACATGATTTCGGAAAGAAATAGAAGAGATTGAGGAGAAATGAGGAAGAATAAGTTTCTCGGGTAAAAATAAACCCGAGATTCCGAAGGACAAGATTCCTCGGAATTTCTTCGGAATCCACTTAATTTGATTATCGCGAAATTTTTGGCGGTCCGATTTCCCGGTTAATGAAAATATTCCATGTCCCTCAGAATTTCCTTGGTATAATCCGAGGAACATGGAATATGCTCTGCAAGAATTCTAATTGGTTAGAGCTTTCCTCGGAATTTCCTCGGTATATACCGAGGAAACATTTTTTTGGGGTTTCAAAACCTAAATTCCTTGAACAATTTGACAGTTTTTCAATGGATAACATTGAACAATTCTTTCAATAGATCCCCATAAACCATGAAATTACAAAATTAAGAAAACGAGTACACATCTTGTCGTTTCCGTTCATTAAAGTATATAAGTGTTTATGTTGTTGTTTAGAAATTTCGTTTATACAATTGGAAGATAGTTTATTACTTGAAAACACACCAGTATTTCAATTTATAATCAATCTAAGACAGTAAATAAGGTTAATTTAAGTCACATGTTCAATTTCTAAACGTAAATACATTATTTTCGGTTCAAATATCTTACTTCCTCGGTATATTCAGAGGAATTTCCGAGGAAGGTAACCCCTAAATTAAATCCCTAAATGCGAAACTGAGGAAATACCGAGGAACTATGCCTATTCCTCGGAGTTGTATTAAAAAAAAGGATTGTCTATACTACTCTATTTCCGAGTCATCATCATCACCAGATGAATCTGAATCTGGATCTTGGTGAAACTCTCTAATCTCTGGTTCATCCTCTACGTGAACGACGGCTTTCTCTCCAAAGTCGGTAAAATCTACAACAAGGTCAACTGCGGCTACATCTTCTGCTGCACTTAAATTGCCCGATGTGCTTGGTTGTAGTGGGTCTTCCAGCTCAGAACATCCCTGAACTCGGCCTCTCGGGTTGAGTGTTGTAACAGTGACCCATGGATCATCTCTGTTCCTAACCCGGGGGTAATTGATATAACAAACCCTTAAAATATTAAAAAAATATATATTTGTAAATTTGTAGCTTAATACATATATTAATACATATTTGAATAATTGACATATATATATATTTAATTACCTGATCGGCCTGATAAGCAAGAATGAAAGTATCATAATATTGCAGCTTTCGCCTCGAATGTACTGATGTAACACCAAATGCATCTGTTCTCACACCTCGATCTAGAGTGTTGTCATACCAATCACAATAGAAAACAGTACAACGCAATCCAACAATGCCCGGATACTTGATTTCCAAAATATCGCGTATGTTTGCGTAGTATACATCATCTCCTGATGCAGAACAAATGCCATCATCATAAGTCGTACTTGAACGTCGCCTCTTTTGAGTTGTGAATGCATATCCTCGAGTACAAAATCTCGGATATGACTTCACAACATACTTTGGT